CCCGGGGAGGGGCCCTGTGTCGGTTTAGCCGCAGGTGCCAGGGGCAGGTGTGGCCTGGCCTTCCTGCCAGTTACTGTAGCTCACGTTCGATGCGTCCAGCCAGGTCATCAGCCCTGGGATGGGATAGGACCGTCGGGATTCGACATCTTTCTCCTTACCCCTTTTAGGAAAATGCAGGGCAGGGGCCCAGCCCATGGCGTAGCGCGGAAGCGTGCCTCTGCCCTCCTGTAAGGGGCCCTTTAGAGCCCCTGAGACCTCCCCCAGGACCGCAGGCCAGCGCCGCCCGGAGCCTGGGCTGTTTAGGCGAAGGGGGATGTCGTAGTATCAAGACCCTGTTGGGGGTGCTGCCTCTTCCTATACCCGCTTCTGTCTCATGATATAAATAAATAAATCCACCTAAAAAATAGGAATGCAGCGCTCTCCCAGCTCGCCTCTGGGTGCGTGGGGTGTCCGGCCTTGTGCACAGCGCGCTGCCTCCCCATGAGCTCAAACACAAGAACCGGATGCCAGATCGGCGGTTTGATCAAGTGAATGAGCTCCCGGCTGTGTCTGGCCGGGCTCTGACAGGAGAGCGGAGCCTGCTGGGTGTTCGGAGGTGTGCCGCCCACTCGTGAGTCCCTTTCCAAATATATCTCAGCGTGTCCAGTTAACATGGAAGCAGGTTCCACCCGCTCAGGCCTCTTCGGAGCCCTGAAACACTGACGTAACTCTTGAAGACGTGCGTGCCTCTGTGCGCATGCGTGCGTACAGGTGTGAAAAACAAGCTTTTCAAGGACGCTGGAGAGCAGGAAAACAGGTACAAAACCTTACTATGATGACTTAAAAGTTAGTTATTACATTTTCAAGAGGAACTAAATTCATGCAATGTTTTTCCTTTTCCTTTCTTTTTTGCTATAGAGCATATGTGCTTGCCAGAGAGAGGGAAAGTGAGACGGCACCTCCCAAGGAGAATGGCCGTGCTCCAACCCCTTCACCTCTATTCTCCTCTCGGGATTTTGGGCATACACACATCTGCACCTGCGTGTTTTTTCAAGCCGCCTAGTCTGAGCCTCGAACTGCACAGTTGGTCATGTAGAATCCAGCACTTTGACCTCCCTGCCACTTGCTGGTCCATCACTGGGCCCTGTAAGGATTCAACATGACGATGGACACGGGGCACTCATAGTGGGGTCATGCCAGACTCCTGGAGTCTAGCGCTATTCTAGCACGAACTGAAGAGGTCACAGTGTTTATTAGGAAATGCAGAGACACCGACAACTCCCAGGGGTCAGTCGTATGCCAGATTCTGAGCCATGAATTATTTTATTAGATCCACAAAACAACCAGCGAGGACGGCATCCTTACAACGAGAATTGGGATGTATTCACTTGTTCCACAATACTCCGGGGGAAGTGTGATAGCGAGAATGGCAGTCCAGGTGTTCTGTAAAATACGTGGGGGCTTCCAAAAGTTCATGGAAAAATGGAATTGAAGTACAAGTTTATTTTGGTGCAAAGAAGTTTCCAAATTTATGCATGGTTTTTTCACAATGTGCAGTTTCACTGAGCTTTTGAAGACACCCCACCCCCACCCCAATACGGCGATCACAGCACCTACCTTCTGTGGTTCCATTCTGCGCTGAGTTCCTGGTGAGTCCAACCCACCACTCCCTGTCCTGGGAGATGTGCTTCTGCAGGAACCGCTGGGTGTCCTCATCGCGAATGAAGACCAGGTGGCCGCCCTGCCCCTCGCACCAGCTCTGGGCACCATGGAAGGTGCGCCCGAGTGGCACAAATTCATAGCAAGCATCTCTGAAGGCCACCTGGCTCTTCGGGCAGAAGCTGCTGTCTTCCAGCTTAGCAGAGGTGGCCCCAAGCCTCAGGGTGAGCCCCAGGAGCACCAAGCCTGCCATGCTCATCCCTGAGCCTCCGGCGCTCCCTCACTCCCTGAATGGAGCTGGCCCTCCAGCCCTTCCGCCATGCTCATCCCTGAGCCTCTGGCGGTTCCCTCGCTCCCTGAATGGAGCTGGCCCTCCAGCCCTTCATATGCTGGCGCCTCCACCACCCCACCCACCTCCTTTCTCTCCTTGCGTCAAATAATAGCAACAACCTTTGTTTAAGAAAGCAAAGACTTGGGATGAATGTGTCTGCCTGCCTGCTTCACCGGGCTTTGTTCTATGCCTGTTCCAATTCCAATGAGTTTGCCAAATGGTCTCCCGGAGAGATAAATTTGCACTAGCACCTGTTTGCTTGTCATTAGGTCAATTGTTAGCGTCTGATGAAAAGTCCTTACTGTTGGCTTTATGTCCTTACCTGAGGAACAAATGTCTCACGAGAAGCCACCAGCATGTGGGGAGGATGTGATAAAGGCGAAGTGGCAGGAAGTTAGAGTTATGGGATGGCAAAGACACCCCATTGTTCTCATAGCCAGCTCTACTGGCCAGAGTGGCAGCTGCTCCCTAATGATAATCCTTCCCTCCCCAGCATGGCTGAAATCCCAGCAGATATCCGGGGTCCTCTCTGATTCATCACGTTATCACTCGAACCTTCTGGAGAATAAATTCTCTGAAAAATTTGTTTGATGTCATCAAGAAAATAAGCTTTTATTCAAACTTCAGACCTGCCCATTCTCACTCTCTGCCTAAAGACCCCAGTGCGTTTCCATGGCTGTGGATCAAATTCAGACTTAGTGGTGGACACGGGCTCATTATAACCTAACCCCAGCATTTCCGAACTCACCCCCCCCGAACATGGGGAAAGAGGCTCGCTCACCACTTCCTAATGGGAGCCTAAGTTGGTATGGCCACTGTGGGCAGCATGACAATGTCTATCACATTTTGAAAGCACAAACTCTATAATGCAGGTATCCACTTGTAGGCATTTTATTGGCAGATAAATTCATGCATATGAAAAGTGTCAAATAAGGTTATTTCCTGCGGAATTTTGTAATAAGGAAAAATTGGGAATAATCTAAACGTCCATTGATAGGAAATTGGTTAACAAAATGTGGGACATCCTACACGTCCATTTAAAAAGGAGCCAATTCTGCGCATACAAATGAGAAGGGTCGCTCAGACTTGTTAACATTACAAGCAAAGTATTAGACATTTGCACAAAAGCACACACAAACTTTGTTTTGAAAAAGCACACATAAATATTTAGGTGGATAATTTGTCTTGTAAAGCACATCCAAGAGGGTCAGCCTGTGGCATGGTGGTTAGGGTGGCTGGATCCCAGATGGCTGACTCTGCAGTTGGAGTCCTGGATGGACCCGATGGCTTGAAAAACATGCTAGGTACCTGTACATGCCCAAAATCCTGGGGGAAGAATGAGAAGGGACTGTGGCATGACCGTCCCCCTGGAGGGTGATTTCTCCCTTTATCCTTCTCTCTCTGTGTGTCTCTCCCTCTCTGTCTCTGTCTCTCTCCAGCAAGTACATGCACCCTATGGCAAAAAAAATAAATAAATAAAGAGAAACTGGCCCTCATGATTGCCTGGAGGGGACCTAGGACAAGAAGCGGGAGGAAGACTTTTTTCTCTGGTCACCATCTTGCAACTCTTCTATTTTGTATCATGTGAATGTATTATCTGCTCAAAAATGCTAAATTATTGGGCTGGCCCTGTAGCCTAGTGGTTAAAGAGGCTGGATCCCATATGGCCGTTCACAGTGTAAGTCCAGTCCCCAGTGGCTTGAAAAACAAGCTGGGTACAAGTACGAGTGTGCCCAGAATCCTGATGCTAAGAAAGAGGAGGGACTGTGACATGACCCCATCCCATCATGGGGAGTTTTCTTCCTCTCCCTCTCTCTGTCTCCATCTGGTGACCACAGACACCCTCAGGCCACCAAAATAAGTAAATAATTTTTAAAACTGTACAGGCCCAGTGACCCCCTCAGCTCAAAGCCGCTGCTCCTGATAACTATCCTCGTCTGTTGCTGCGTCCTTCCTTCACTTGTCTGTGTCTGCCTGGGCTGTCCCCTCTCTTCCTTGCCCTCCCCTGACTACATCTGCATCCTTCCAGACTCAGCTCACACATCGCTGTCTGTCAGTTTTGTAGAACTTGCCTCATATAATATGCCTGTGTCTTGGATGTTTCTTCTCTCTTTCTCTTTCTCTCTTTCTCTCTCTCTCTTTCTCTCTTTCTTTCTTTCTTACTTCCTTTCTTCATTCTTTTTCTTTTCTTTTTTTATTTGCACAGGGCCTGTTCATGCTGCAATATCCTTCCTCCAGTCCTCAGGCTGAGGGGTCGGGGATTCAAATCCCTGTTGCCACGTGGAATCCACTTCTCTGGAGCAGTGGATTACTGATGCACCATGGAGCCAGCCCCCAAATTAATTAAATTTGACCAAATTACTGTTACCTTAATTGTAGAAAAAAAATGATTTAATCAGTAGCACTAGAGTTTCTCTTGAGAAGAGAACTTTTTATTGAGGACAATACCAATCTAGGCCATCTGGAACATGCAGGGTGTGGTATCCTGTTAAATCAAAACCCGGAGCTGGACAGGGTGGTCTGCAGAAGGGTGTCATTCAAGGTAGAAAGGGCACCATGTAATGTGGACTCTAGAACCTTCTAAAATGGTGTCAAGTGGGCTGGCCCTGTGGCCTAGAGGGCTGAGGAAGCTGATCCCACATGGCTACTGCGGCTCAGATTCTGACCCTGGCAGTGCGCAGAACACACCAGGTACAAGTGCATGTGTGCCCAGATCCTGACAGGATGGAGACGTGCGGGAGAGGGGATTGTGGCATGCCCATGCCCCCTTCGGGGTGCCTTGTCTCTCTCTCCCGCTCTCTGCCTCTCTCTCATCTTGCTCTGGCTAGCACATGCACCTCAGGGAATTCTTTTTTGAATGATGTCAGGGAGTTTCTTTGGGCAGAGTTGCCAGAGACCTCAGAGAACACGGTCGTCTAATTCCTCGTTTCGGTGCTTTGTTGGTTTGCTCACGGCTCTCCACCGCCCTGCCCCACCCCGTTAACCAGAAATCTGTTTTGCCTCTGGAGCTGATCTCTTCCCACACTTCGTGGCCTTTTGCACCTGGCCCCCTTCACTCAGCGTGCTGTTTCGGGGATGCGGCGTGTACTCCATCCCTGGTTATGGCCACACACTACTGGCCGTGTGGGCCAGCGCTGGGACAGGCCACATTGTCTGTTCACGATCGGCCGACAGACGCTGGGGCTGTCCTACTCTGTGCGTCCCGCCTCTGTTTATCCTGCGGCTGGCCGGCAGGACCCAGCGACCTTCGTCACCCTGGTCCTCTCCTGGGTCCTTGAGGCTGATTTTGACTTTCCTCCCTTTCCTAGAAAATCCTTCCAGCTCTCTGGAACGCCCGGGCTGACTCAGGCGCACACAGGCCTGGCAGAACTGAGCTGTTATCTCCAGAGGCCAGACTTTTAATGACTCCCTTAGAAAGCTGAGTGCGATAGTGTATCTCTGGGATAAAGGCTCCGTTTCTGTCCCTAATGGAGCATGCTTGATAACGAACGGGAATCTGCAGGCTAAATTCCATGTTCGCATTCTTTACACTCTGATAAACGGCAGACTCCTGGGCACGGAATTGGTCTTGGCAACGTCAGCTCGCAATGACCTTTCACCTCCGTTTACACGAAGCTCACGCTGAGACGAAGCAGGATCTGGCTGGACTCATCTGACCCCGCGGCCTGAACCCCCCAGCAGGATCAGCACCTTGAGAAGAGAAAGGTCGGTTGCAGTGGGACATCGTGCTAGAGGAGCACCGAGAGCCTCGCGTGGTAGCCGTTCCCATCCCTGCCTCCCAAATCCAGCAGCGTCAAGGAGCCAGTGCGAGTGACTTACTTGGGAGATGCAGGAAACACTGAGGGAGGGGACAGCACACCTCGGAAGAGGAACTGATGTCACCACTGGTCGTGCTGAACTTTCACCCGCCCCTAGGTCATACGCTGCAATTCTCATGGGCCCACCCCCCAAAGTGTTCTCATTTTCCATGGTTCCTTCATATGTTTGTTCTCTTGAAGATGCGGGCACAATGGCAGGGTGTACAGAATCCATTTGCAATGTTCTCTGCGTCTTCCCCTGGCGTTAGACAGTAAACCTTTTTTTCCATGTTGCCAATGGGCTTCGGAGTTGATGGGGTGGTTGACTGAGCCTCCTTTCACTGAGGGACGTTTTCTTTTCTTTTCTTTAGAGAGAGAGATTTTTGCTATAGAGTGAGTGCACTCGCCAGAAAGGCAGAGAGAGTCAGAAAGCGAGACAACATCCCCAGAGGGGGATGGCCACACCACAATACCTTCTCCTCCATTCTCCTCTCAAGATTTTAGGCATGCATGCACTGGCACCTAGCGTGGTGCCACCAGGTCCGGAACTCAAACCACAGTTGACTACATGAGAGTCCAGCAATGTAACCATTATGCCATCTCTGCTGGTCCCCGAGTGAATGGACGTTTTCTAAACCATACCCAAGTTGCTAGACTTGCGTGGGCTCATTCATCCCCTTTCCATGTGTTTCGCTTTGCCATGCTAGTCAACACTACTGAGAACATCTTCGTGTAGACACCCTTTAGCCAGGGCAGGATGTTGAGGATCGTAGAAGACACTGTCCCTGCCCTACTCTAACCTTCACACTTAGTAGGTGGACTTCTAAATGCAAGCCCTGTGGTTCCTTGTCCCCCTCTGCATATGTGAGACAGGATGGAAACATCTGGAAACATCTGAAACTTTCTGCCTTGACTGACCAGAGCTGGCAGGTCAATACTCCCTTAAAGTAGCTCTGAAGCATATTTACACATCTTCCCAAGTTCTCCAACCAGACTGAGCCCACGGTAATAGTCTTGAAATGAAACATTACGTGTTTTCATTAGCGAGACTTAAAATTCTTATAAATGACATCCCACCCCTGTTACTAATGATGTCATAACGTCTACTATGGTTGTGACTGTTTTTGTTCA